GCACCATTATTGACACTTTATCTTTTACCCATGTGAGCTGGTCAAAGGTTTGAAACTCAACAAGCAGGCATTTTTGGAGCAAACTTGGTCCGGAGCCATTTCGAGCTACAAAAATAGGGCAAACTCCTCCTTTTCATAATTCATTAGGTCTAGCGCTTAGTGCTTACTTCAGACCATGAGTTCGAAGCCTTACAAGAAAGTTTAAACGCGAAAGGTTTTAGCGTTGAGCGAAAAAAGAGCTCTGATTGTGGTGTTCGCATAACTATAAAGCCAAAAAAGCGTTCGGCGCAAATTGCTTCTCCAAGATTGACACCGAATTTCATTTTTTGCTGCATACACTGTCGGCTACACTCTTTCGCGTAGTTCCAATGGTTTCTTGCATTTTCTTCCAGAAAATCCGTGTTGGCAAAGGGGATGTTTGTATAGTTGTACCGATTTGTGTATAAGTCAATGGTCTACTGTTATATAAGCTTGTCCTAATTTTTCGGACAGCTTATCTTTAGGTTTAAGCCGTGAGGTCAGATGTGCTCGACATGGGGGTCGTACTGAAGTAAGGCTGAGGGGGTGGTTGCAATCAAGAATAGAATTCGCTCAATAAATTGCGAAAGCACAATCGAGTAAGGTGAAAAAGCAAGCGCTAGACCGGTGAATGTCACGACTGCATCGGAATTAAAGAAATGACTGTCGTGAATAGCACGTTGATCAACTCCACTAACGAAGCTCACCCAAATTTCACCCACCTCTTACCCTACACTTACCCGTAAGACCACCAAGGAAGCATGTTGTCTAAATTGTGTATGATATTTGTATCGAAGGATTCTGGGAGAAGGTGGTAGCGCGTTGCCAGAATGATAGACGAAGGCCACGAATAGAAGTGATTTTTCAATTGCCGCCGTTGCTGAAGATCAAAAAAAATCTTCAATTTAAAAAAAAATCAAGCTGTCCCATAATCTTCCGACCCCCCCCCCCCCACTCTGACAATTCTGTTTTATTTCTTCTTCTTCAATAAACAATTTTTCCATAACACCAGTCTTTTATATCATCTTCCAACATGTAGTTTTAGAGACTCAAAATGCTATAATATCTTGCAGAATATGCAAAATTATCGCCTTGTCTCCTTCTCTTTCTATTCTCTCAAGATATGCGCAAGATGCGTTTTCAAAAATTTTGATTAGCAAGAAATAGAAAGTGTACGGGTTTATAGATGATAGCTGAGGCGCTTCCCGTGGTCGTTAATGCAAAGGTCATCAAACGGACTTCGTAAAAAAAAGTGATTGCTGAACACGTTACATTTTATGACTTTCATTGACCGATCAGTGCAGAATCACTTCCTTGAAGTTTCTGACATTATGAAAGGTTTCGCAAAAATACAATCATTTTTTGAACTCATTTTTCAACTACTCTGAATAGCTTTGTTTGAAAGCTCACAATTTCTTTCCATTTTTGAGCAGATAAGTGCGCTAATTCGAATGAATAAGACATGCCTTGCATTCTGTTTTGGTTAGCTGCTTGAGATAGACTAGAAAGTTCATCGGAACTCTGTCCGTTAATTTGCAGACAATATACTAATGTGGTTGAGTCGATGTGGGCGAACTTGGTCTAGAGAAAGAACCCTTGCCACAGGGTCAATCCCTAGTCACCGTTATCCAATTTTTTCCCCAATTAAGCAGTGCTCTTAGTTTCGACGCACAGGCTGCGGGAAAATTCCTCTTTCTCTATCGGTCTTCTAAAATACCTGTGGGCAAAAGAAATCTATAGTTTCATTGTTCCATTACGTAAAAGGGAAAGATTAGACTCAATTAAGTTTGATTTATGGCGCCTATGCTTTTCATTTACATGGATGATTACGGTCATTGATGGTCATGCGCAATGCTTTGATGGGGTTTTGTACGCAAACTTGCCAGTAAACCAGTAATGATATCAAATCAAACTTCAAATCAAACTGGTGTGTAGTGCATGATCTATTTTCCAAAAACTACATACTTACCAAAGAATTGATGACTTGGCATTTTGACTAAACAAGAGAAATCTGGCCCGTACTTAAAAAGACAATAAGCTAATTTACTTGCTTTCTTATACTGCACTTTAAAATCTACATTTGAGTAAGAAGTGGCAGAAACAATGAGAACAACATCTGTTTCCCAAATAATAGTTTTGGGGTCAATAATTGATTGTCTAGTTTCTCCGTTTTCCAATCGCATTTGTTGCGCCGCAGCAGCTCTCTTCTTCGTAATCATACCTTCGATACATAGAGCCATATACTCTGGTAACCTTCACTTTGAGCGTCATGATAGAACACAACCTTCACCAGGGGAGAAGTACAGAAGTCATTCCGGGCGAAGCCCCGGAAATTATGACATAACTAATGACATAATTGTATAGGGATGAATTTAAATGAGGCAAATATAGCAGTGACATTCAAAAGAAGCTCAAAAAAAAAACCGAAGGATTGCGTTTTTATGGCCTTTTTTGTTGAGAAGAAGGTTTTAATTTAAAAATTCTATCAAAAACTAGGGCAAAGTTACTCAAATAACCTCTCTCTGAACTGCGGTTGAATGTTGGAAGTTCATTAAAGCCGCTAGAGTCCAATAAAAACGAAAAACTGCGCTCAAATCTTGCACAAAGAGTCGCCATATGAATGCTGGTCTATCTCGTTATGGAGTGATTTTCAAGACCCGCGACGTTGTCAGTGCTCCTGGCCGTCTCATGAGGATCACAACGATATATAAATTTGCAGGGTTTCGTTGAGACCCTGCGAAGATCCACGACCAGAGCCAAATGCCCCGTCGGCTCTGGTCTGTCTCCGCTGCTCGTCTGCGTCTCCGCGCGCTGCGCGCTACCTCGCTACCTCAAATGCGGGGCGCGGGGCATTTGGCTCTGGTACCCTTTTCTTCGTTGTTCGGAGCCCAATTTCGATAATCTATATATCATATTAAAGCTCTTGATCTCTATTTTCACGCTGACAACGTCGCGGAACTTCTTTTTGGGATTTAAAGAAGAAATCCTCGAAAAACGGTGTTTTCGAAAACCTCTTGTTTTTTCTTCAGTTTAACTTTTTTCACTCCGTTTTTTTGTGCATTCGATAGGTCTTGTTTCTGTCTATGATGTAGACAACGTCGCCGAGCTTACTTCTTTGCTTATGCCGGTTTTTTTTGTGAAAAATACAAAAAAGTACGTTTTTCTTTACCTTGTTCTCTTTCTGTGCTTTTGCAGCGGATTTTTTCCAGCTTGGACGATACTTGCTCAGAATGATGAGCGGAAGAATCCAGACAACGTCGCAGCGTACGAAATGACTATGCGGGGGTGAAAATTTGAAGGACGCATCAAAAATCAGATTGGCGTCGATGTGCAACACAACTTTACAAACATGTTTAACATGTTCAATTCAGTTGTTGACAAGTTCTTCTTCTTTCGGTCTCCCAACTAACGCCACAGCTAAACAGCGCTTTTTTTGACTGGAAAAGAACTTTGTTGTTGTTGTCACCCAATTTTAACGGCAATCCTGGAGACGAAACTCTGCGTAGGCACCAAGTTAAGGTTTCAGATTTGGTGATGTGCTAACCTCTGCTTTATATGAATTTTCTAAGTTTTCTAATTTAATTTGTATCTCTAAATTTTCGTCTATTTTTCTGAAACAACCTTCACTTTTTATGGGGGGAAGAACTCAAACAACTATCACTTTCAAGCCCTTGTCTCTTGACTATCGAAGGTATGTTCGTAATTATTCCACGAATCCAATTTGCTTTTCCTAGTGCAACTGAAGACTGAGTATTTCGTAATTAGTAAGTTTTGTTGTTAGTACCAGGCAGTGGCGGGGGGCGCGACAAAAAGGTTTTTTGAATGAAGGTGCGTGGCGTTAGCCACGCACTCCGAAAATTTTTCAGGGGTTGCCATCGAAAAATTTTTTTATAGGGTTAACTTGAGTTTCTAAAAATTTTTAAAATTTATATTAATTATTTACAAGTATAAACAAGTCACTCACATTTTTATAACCCATAAAAGTAACTTTCAAAAATTTCGCGACCCATTCTCAGGGGGGGGGGGGGGGCGCCCGCCCTCGGTACGCCACTGGTACCAAGTTCATCAACCACTAGACGGTTCCTTAGATTCTCCGTGAAAAAAAGAGGATCCTTTCGTTCGAAAAGAGGCTGGCATAAACTACTCACACGCATGACCGGAAGTTCCGCTGGACATTAAGGGAACGAACTTGTCGCCGTCCTTTGTGGAATGCTGCTGAAGTTTCTGTTCTCAACATTGGCAAATTCCGGGGAAGCTCCAGTTTTTGGCTCTTCAATTTCTGTGACAGTAAATGGAATCCTGTGGGAGTGCGAAATTTCCTTGTTCCGAGGAAGTTTCCGTGGTTGTTTGAGTAAATCTCGGACAGAGTTCACGCAATTTGATCGTAGCGATTCAATCGCTACAGCAACTGTTACGAGTTCATTGCATGTCGATCAGCTTGCATTTCGGTTGTGATACTTTTTCAGCTCGAAATTTTTGAATGTGAAATGAAAATGAGTGGAAATCGCGGCGGAATCGCGACGATCAAATCGCCTGAACTCTGTCCAAGGCCTAAAAAGAAATATATTTCGATTAGGGCCTCCGCCGAGTGAAAATGTAGATTATTAAGTCAGTTTTAGTAGAATATTAGAATGTATTACTACCTCGAGATTCCTTTTGATTTTCCTTCAACAAAACTTTTGATCAAGATTTGTTGGCTGAAATCCTAGGGTCACCACTTTTTCCGTCTCTTGTATTTTCTTCTTTTCTCGATTGCTATACCTACGGTAAAAACTCACCATTCAGATGTTTTGCTTCACTCCTGTTCAGGAGATATCCGATTTCTCTACGATCATGGTGTACGGTAAATCCCGACGCCATTTCTTTCTCTTGGATTGAAAAGATATCCCTCCATCATCGGACTGGCACTCCTCTGATCCGCCCTCTTCGGATGAAGACCCAAATTACTTCCATAAACACTTCGTCTCTTCTCATTTTGATATATGTATCTGGAATGCATACTAACCTTACTTCTCATTCCAGGTAGTTGTTTACCAGACTAATCGCTCTGAGAAATTCGTCATCAGCCTTTTCGTTTCAGGTTCCGTCGTGGCATCCGCCAATGTAGAAGAAACAAAGCTGAAGAATCTGAAGAATATTGCTATGACAGAGAAGGAGTACAAAAGAGTACAGCAGTTGCACTACGGCTGGTACATACAAGCTGTTAGTGCCCTTCTAGGTGCTATGGGGAAGGAGATGTATATGAAAATGGATAGGTAATAGCATAGAATTTTCAGTTTTCAGAATGTTCTTAGAATTCTGCCTTTTCCGGAGAATTTTTTCATACCTCTTTCAAAGCCGCTTGAATGAGATTTATTCCACTCTCAGATAACGTTTGCTTTTCTTCTTTGTTTGTTATTTCAGAAACAATCGACGAGCATTTGTTGCTTGCTTAGATGGTATCGAAAAGGAACATGATCTACAGTCGGGAGCAAAATGCTTGGTGAAAGCATTCGACAAAAAGCTAGTACGTGATTATTTTAATATGCATTTTATTGTTTCCTTAGATCTTCGTACTTTTGGCTCACTAATCCACTTGAGAGTGTCTTTATGAAAATCTTTTCATCGGTTGCTACAAGGTGAATATCTTCGAATACTTGAACAGTACAACCTCATTGGAAACAAATCCAAGACTTTTTTCAGAATGAAGTAAATTTGAAGCTAAATTTATAACAGGAATGTTTGAGAAATGCGCTTTTGCCTTCTCATTATTTTCAGGTGCAATCCTACCCGTTCGCACTTCACCGTTCCTACTACGACTTCGTAGGCGGAGACCTCAAAAAATCAAGGAACTCCAAGAAAAGAAAACTTATACGAAAGGCTGTCAAAAATTTTGCTAGAAGTCGAGCAGCCAAACTGCTGAGGCTGAATTTTCGAAAGAGGCAAATAATGAAGAAAATTACAAGCAGCAAGGGAATTAGCACAAGGTGAGAACTTCATGAGACCTTTTAAGATTCTTATCGCAAAACTCCATTTCAAAAACAGTGTGGCGTAGTTTAGGAGGAGTATAATTTTTTATTGATAAATACCTCATCCATTTCAATTCGGAGCTGCCACTTCTATATGAACCTCAATTTTCAAATTGGCAGCTCCAAAGAATCTTCCCGATGTCTTGCTTCTTTTTATGAATTTCTGGTGTTTTCATCAAACTTTATTTGGCCTCACTGACTTCCGGAATATCTCCGTCTTTCCATAACAGTCGCACCTATCACTATTTTATGGCACCACTACTCAATAGGTCGTAAACATAAGCGCGCTCGTGAATAGAGCGGACACTTCATGTTACGGAACAAGATGACAGACAGACCTGATTTTATAGATTAGATGTTTCAAAGTAGTATTACTACTAGCTATACCCGCCTGATGCCGCTCATTATAGAAACAAAAAGAAAAAAGTGCGAAAGTCATCAAGGCATGCGCGGAAGAGCATCCGGTTCCCCAAGTCTGTGATCCCAACGCGAAAAGCGAGAAGAATAAGCTTTCAAAAACCGATAAGGCTTTTGCGACGGCGTGTCAAAAGAGGTGTTCTCTCCCTTTATCAAAATGTGAGTATAGACTTTTGTTAGAAACGTTTTGGAACTCAGAAATATGGCGATTTTAGGAAGAAACTATGGAAGAGGCCAAGAGAAGTGACCGCATGGATTCTCCGTACAAACCTACTACAATGGACAAACTGCCATCACTGATGATAGAAGAGAAAACACCTGTAAAGGTGGGGCTGATTGATTTTCATAGACATTGCTCGTGCGTATCCAGGTAATTTCATTTTGAGATGGTTACGAAGTTGCTGGGTTCGCTGTGGAGAACTGCAAGGAACGAGACGGATAATGGCAGGATACGGCTGAAAGGTTCATTTTCACGATTGCAACAGGTGATTTACAAATTTACAACTATTTTTTGAAAAAAAGCGACAAGTTACAATTTTTTGAATCGTTCATCAAGCAATCAAAAGTTTTTCAAAATGTTTTGCCCGTTGGAATTCAGTATTCTGAGTTTTTGACCTTACTTCACATAGGAATTTGTCTTCTCTCTATGGCTATCACTCACGCAAATTTTCCAAAGTTGGATTATTCAGTGGGATTCCCCCGAATTTTTTGTCGGGGGGGGGGGGTGAAGATTTCGAACTATGGAAGGCGTTGAGCATGCGAAAGGAGAAGTAAGACAGATTAGCCATCGGAGAATTATCATCGAAGAATTTTACTTTGTAAAAGAATTTTTGGATTTTTGATCAAAACTTTTCGGTAAGCTTTGAGTGAAATGAGTAAATGAGTAAAAGGTAATGGATTATTGTAAATTCAATGCATATATGAAAAATGTACTGAATAAAAAAACTCGTTCATCGCGTGTAAGATTAGCTACTTAAAGTCACACTACGTTGATATCTCTCATCAAATCTCTTTCAGCTCCAAGAAAAAGTAATAGAGATGAAGAGAGAAACGCAATTCAAACATCGTATGCTTGATATGGTCGTTGGAAAAAATAATCCTTTAAAAAGAAGAAAAAGCTTCACAGACAGGTGCGTCTTTGCACCTATTCATTTCTTTCTAAGCTGGTCCTTGGCAGATTCCGTGACCTAATGCCGGAAAAGGCTGTGGATAAAAACGTCTATGGTCTGGTAGATGCTGTATCCAGACACACCAAAGATGTCAACTCCCAGATGTTATCACCGCGGATTCTTCCTCTCATGCCTGATAAGTACAGCGTATCGAAGTGAGTATTGCACTTAACAGTTGGAAGACCATCCTTTGATAAAATATTTCAAATGACTTGGAATGCGCAAAACGGCAGAATGCAGAAAATTTTCTTTTGCGTACAGATAAACATGATCGGACAATTACTAATACATTCTCCAAAATCGGCCGCAGAGACAAATTTTTTCTTAGAAGGCAAAACTCAAATTGTCTCTGCCAGAGGGGGAGGAGGACGAAAAACACAAATTTTGACCATCCGAAATGGAAAAAAAAGACTTAATAGATAACAACCACGTTCAGGAAATTGCTCTCACCAGATCTATTTCCACTCTACAAAGATGACACCGGCAATAGTATACTGTCCATACCAAAAGTTTTGGAAGAATCCGGTCTAGATACCAAGGATCGTGATGCTATTTTGGAGTTGGTAATGGACGTAACGGGTTAGTTATAATCTTCATCTCAATCTATCGATTTCAAATATTGTAGGTGTGAATGATGTCGTCGAGAAGTCAATGGATTTGCTGGATAACATAAAAACGCTAAATCTGGGTAAAGACCTAGCTGTGATTACCAAGGTCCTTGACGACGCTTTTGTGAATATCAAGAACAACCTGCGTGCACAACAAAGGCAGGAACTGGCAAGCCGCCAGTTTACCTTCTTGGACAAGCCTCAGCTGGACAAGCTGTACGGAAGAGAAGGTAAGGTTTGTTTTGACAAGAGTTTGTATTAAAATCAAGGCTCCCTGTGTTGTCTAGGTCGACGGTAACCGTTGGAATCAATCTGCAATGAACTGTTGTTTTTTGATCTGTAAATACTAGGTCGAACCCAAAATTCGTTCCAGATTCAAAAAATAGTGTTCTTTTCGTTAACAATTCCCAATAGTTTTGGTCTATTTAAATGATGGGGGGGGGGGGGTGTGACCGTACTTTCCAACCAGGTTGTTCCCCACTAATCTCAGATTGCAGAGATACAAATGGAAGAAGAAGACCATTAGAGGTTCGGTGAATTTGAAAATCTTTGAAATTGTGAAAGCTACGCAATAATCCAGAACAATCGATATAAAAGTTGAATTCATCTTTCCAAGTGAGAAAATTTGTTCCAGCTGGGCTATTTTATAAAAATTATGATTTTCGAGAAACCAGCACAAAACATAGAAGCACAAGCTTCTCTTATTTGGAAAGAGAAGAGCGTAAAACATAATATCGACTGTTCTGATTTCATTGTATTTTTTGAATTTTTTACGGGCCTCCTTGAGAGCAGTAAATTTCGGATGATTTCTTTTTTTCCGATTTCTCATCTTTGCAATCGAAGATTGTAGAGGAATAACCAGGCTGTCAATGAAAAATAAATGCTCTACTCCTAAATATCGAAGCAGGACAGGGATACATTATTCGAAGATGATGCGAACGAGCTTCTGGTTCCACCTGATACTTTGAATAATATTTAAAATGCTTAATCCACCCAATTGCGTATTTTTTTGGAGAGGCTAACCCCAAGCTTCTCTCCATCCATTTCCTGATGGCTCTATAATGTGATTCCAGGCCTACTAAACACCACCATTGCCGATTTTCCATTTGATCTAGACGAGTATGGTGGGATGAACCAAGTCGAACGAGAAGAATCGCTGAGAACTACCGTACGCATCCTGGCTGATGATCCTCAAGCTCTGCATCGACGATTTAAACGAACTATCGATATTAAATACTTCAATCATGTAACACTATCACCATACGCTTTTGCTCCGACTGTCAATACGGTAAGCCAGTGCGGTTCTAAATTTTCTAAATTTATGATTTTTCACAGTTGAACGTTTTGGGCCCTGTAACGCTATCGCCTAGTCTATTCTCACCAAATATCGTCTCACCGCTGTTGCTAAGTCCACCAACTATTTCACCGCAGGTCAGGCAATTTCTACTATATTCACTTCTCATAACTAGCGTATTCCAGGTGGGAAACCCGCTCATCCTCTCTCCCTATGTGCTTGGCCCAAACACGCTCTCTGCCGCAGTGTTCAACACCTACATTCTTTCGCCGTATGTTCTCTCACCAAATGTGATCAACCCATACGTGCTGTCTCCACTCATTCTATCCCCATATGTTCTTTGCCCGGATGTCTTGTCTCCCACTATACTTTCCGGAGCAATTCTCTCCCCTTCAGTGCTTTCTCCAGCAGTCTTCACCGAATCAGCTCTAGCTATCAACGTCCTGTCACCATCATTTTTGTCATAATGCATAAACATCACTGCTTGCTTCGCATCCGAATCCCCAAATTGGTGTGGGCGAGAGCCTTGTTCTCGTTTTGTTTTTATGGTCTGTTATATCGTATAGAAAAGCTCTGCAATCAGATGACGTGTCGTTTTTTGTTGCTCATGATTATCATACATAACTTTCGTTGATTTTGTAAAATAAATATAAATCCTCAAGAATAGGTGCATAGAATGACTACTACTAGGTAATTATTACTATTTAGGTGTAGCATTCACCTAAGATTACACTCTTGATTCTCTTAATCTGTTAGGCTACCTTCTTTGCATTGATTTTCTACTTTAATTTTCTTCAGTGTTACTAGCTATCGAAACTTTTGTTGTAATGTGTTGCTTCTCGGTAAAACTTACTGCTCTCTGCTATTTAATGGCACAATGACTCATGTCGAGACAGAGAAAATGGGCATTTGTTTATGGTAGCTTACAAGTTATTATTACAATATTTTGCAAGTGAACCAGTAATTAAAGGTGCTATTTGCAAGAGCGATCGCTTCGGGATTCTACTTCCTATTTTCAAATGTGCTTCACTTTTTCAGCGCGGATAGCTGTTGGCCGATTGAATGATATGGAGGAATCAAGTGCTGAAAATGGAGGACACAATATGGCTAATTGATGTTCAGTTTACGTACCTATCAGTCTGGCGATGCACAGCTATTTGCACATTGACCTCCTTTGCTATTTGTAGCTATCACAGTGATTGTAGCATTGTATCTCTTGCATTAATACGATTGTGCATTGTCCACAATTAGAGCATATTTGTATTTTTTGAGAGTGGTTCTTGCTACTGGCTTCTTATTAGGTCGGGTCTTAGGAGTAAACAATATGTGAACAGGTCAAAAGGCATCAAATCGGATTTTGGCGTCAAAAGTGGTATTGTCTGTAATCACACATGTTTCGCTTCAGACGTCTAAATTCAAAAATGTCGCCATAGCATGTTTTTCGTCTGATTGAACTATTGCTGCTGCATTCAGGGCCATCGACTATTCTTCATCACTTCAAGACTACATTAACACCGTTGGAGTGGCCATAAGGCAGAATTTGCTACTTGAAGGGGCTCGAAAGGAGCTGGTAATTCCTGATTGGTCTTTGAGCTGTTGATCCTCAACATAAATTCCTTTTTCGACGCGTTGGCTTTCTATCAAATCACCGTACTGTTATGGGTTATTTATAAAATCGTGACAATGGCGGCAGCCCTGTTCTGAGAGTGTAAAAATATCACGTTTTCATGCTACGTCGAATGATGCTGCTTCTTCCACCATGTTGTCGAGCCTTACCATAGCAAGAATGATACCTCCAAACGGTGTGTTTCTTCAATTCAGCCTTTCTCGGTATACGTATAATAGCATGTGTCTAGTCACCTGCTGCTCAACGTGCATACACACAAACATTTGACATATATTATCAAATGTATGTATACTCTTCGCGGTTTAACTCTAATTGCTAAAATTACAGCTGGACGCTTTGTGTAAAGTGAAGCTCCCTAGTACTTAGAGAAAGAAACGGTAAGTACATTACGAAGTCATTTGGCGAAAAGGGCTTCCTTGCACATTGTTCGATTAAGTCCACAACTTTGGATACTAGGGACCATTTCAACTCATCGCTACACACAAGAAGTTGCACAAAAATGTAAAATTCTTTACTGCTTTAAGCATTCTCTCACGCAGTTCTACTTAGGGTGGAGGCGTGGATAGAGTGTGCGCTGAGTCATATGATTGCGAATGGTATAGGGAATTCACCGAGAATCATGAAGATTTCCAAGAGCGGAAAATGAACGTGATATTAACGTTGAGTAAAGGTGATGTTACGTTCACAAAGATTGCCAAGTTAACCACTTTTCGACTTTCCAGCTTTGTCATGACTTGTTGATCGGAAACATGGCCATTGTACATAAGAGTCGAAGGGCTATTAAATAGTAAAAGAAATTCTTATAAGAAGAATATGCTTCTCGCTATCCTATTCGCTAGAAAACTCCCACGCGGATTATGTTCGGTTAGACGCCTTTTTTATCCTTTGTAATAACCTGCTGCCTAGTAACAAACAAGAGATTACTTTTGTCGGAGGAAGGTATGAAAGTCGCCGATCAAATTACTTTGGAAGCTAACGCGCATAATCAGAAATGCTGTTATAGACTTCAGCGTACATTTGAGTCATGTTTTTCATTCCATAAATCCCCGTGATCCATCCTACCGGAGTCAGGGATGTCATCTGTGCGCTTTCCTTGGTCTAGAAATGAACGGCAGAATAGTCTGATAAAGGCAAATCCAAGTGTTTTGGCCCATAGGACAAGGAAGTCTATAGAGGGATACATCAACTTGTACAAACGGTCGAAGTGGTTTGTACCATTCCGCGTTTGGGCTCTTTACGGGCAAGATCCTATAAGAGAGGGCCGAACTGATGTTTATCGACGATGGATTCATGTAGACCAGATAGTCTGCATATAATCTTAGGAGAAATCACTTGCGATCTTCTTCACCGTATGTGACAACAGTCAAGTTTCCATATCAGGAACATGCTTTTAGAGCTTCTAGAATATCATACCAAGACAACCAAGATACCGACCAAGCGCATTTACTTCAGTAGTTTGAGTCTTGCTCCACAGCTCCCAGCATCATCTATGGTTCCAAATTTATACTTGGTGTACAAAATTGGTCAAATATGTCTAGATCTGAAGAAGACACCGTAAGCGGTTTTAATTGACCGAATGGGACAGTCTGCAAGTTTTTTGTAGCTACTGTTCCCGTTCCTTGCAGCTGAAAACATGTGCGCAAGCCCTATACGATCAGTTACCTCGATATACTGGCTCCTCATTCGTTATCTCTTGGATTGAAAGTCTTAGTCATATAGGAACTGCACAAGCGTTAGCTGGAGCCATGAAGGCTTTGTGGGGTCAGGTGTCAAAAAAATTAATCAACCTCGAAATTCATATGACTGTTTTGGTTCACCATTCTTTTTAGCTCAGGATTTTGAGTGCTTGCTCAATCACAACATTGCCGGAGCCCTCTTGCGTGGCATTCACCATTTTTTTGTCAGCTGCACCGTTCGAAAGAGCTCATCAACAACTGCAGTCTTGGATTGTGTAGAGGAAAAAGCTGCGAACACGCCTTTCAAAGATTACTTTTTATACTTACTCAAGCACAGTCTTGAGTCAGTCTAAAGTTGTTCGAGCCTCGTGTTGCACAAAAGGCTGTTGCTAATGTCATCTGCATATGCAACGCACTCGAGAAACCCGACGTCTTGGGATTGCACCAAAAAGTCACCAGAAGTTCAGTGAACTGGTCTACAAGTAGTTGTTGCTCGTTTGCCTAGCCTAGCCTTACATCATGCGGTCAGATTTGCTTAGAGGATTTCATAACGTTTGTTTCTTTTATGTGGGAATTCTGGATTTGGAACTCGAATCCAAGCCTACGCTAAGTCTAGGAGTAAAAGACTATTGATCGACGCAAGGGCGGAATCGTGGTTGAAAGACGTCAAGCGATTGGAAGTGAACAATCGCGCGACACGTTGGGCGTGTAGCCGAAGCTAGTGGTACTCACATCTTAGCGACTAACATTTTCTCAAGTAACCTTTCTCAAGGTTCGGCGTTTTTTTAGGACTTTTATGACAATTACACATAGAGCATCCTTTGCAAAGGCATTAGATGCCTTTACAGCCGAAAATAGCTTGTCTCTTGCCAAGCTAGGTCAAATATCACGCCAGTTTGAAAAGATGTAGGAAATAAAGTACGGTCAGTGTTTTGCACCACCGTTTCTCGGTATAATGCGAAGAAACATTGGATCCCTCTTGTCTAGCAACTGCTCAAATCGGAACTCTGTACGGTGCACAACATCTCGATCAGAGCAAAAACCTACAAGCTGTAGTGCATACTGAGGTCCTCCTCTAATTTGGTTGTTAAAGATATAGGAGCCATCATAAAAGCGCAGTCAAACATAATCGAAGGATTGCGCCTCACGGTAAATGGAAATCGCATGAGGAGGCATCCAAACAGCTGCATTCAGGTTGATTCATTGATGGCGTACCAGCATGAGCAAAAGGAAATGCAGCGGTCTTCTTTGTACAAAGCAAAATTCAAGCATACTCATACTCTACCGAAAAGTATTGAGTTCAAAGGAACGAACCTACAAGGACTTGGAAGCTTGATGCATGTCCGTCGTTCAAGGTTACTCAATCGATGTCAGTCGACTGACATCTTTGATTGGCTTTTAGAAAAAAAATATGATCTATATATTTGAAAGATGGAATTCTTCTGCGCGCCAGTCGCAATGACCCTTTTGACGGTGCTGAAGTTTCTGAGACTTTATCTCCTCCAGGTAAGTCGGGCCGTTTGTTTAGTCCCTTCCTAAAATAAAATCAAGCACAGGCTTGCGAATCAGCACGTAAAATACATACTCTCGCTTGCCGCCAATCGGCAAAGAAGGATCTAGCCTCATCTACAGCCTGCCCCAATCGAGACCAGGCCGAACCATTAAGGTGAATTGCGCGCTCGCAGCGGAGTGGTTTGCGCCGCATATACGCACTGTCGGAGAGAGCGAAGAGATTGAAGAGAAAGTAGACAAGCAAGCTGTAGGCGTGACGCAAAACCCTAGCGGTGCAGTCTCTCGCCATGCCAATTTTGGCCTGATTAACATTTGGGCTACTGTAAGAGACATTCCAGAAGCTTTGGTAGCTTTCCTAACAGGTGAATAATCACTTCTCTAGTAGAGTTCTATTAAAACTGGTTTTTTATACTTTATATTAGACACTTTTGGCTTATTCGCAGACGAGCTTCTTTTGAGTGCGGCTGATGCGCTAGACAAGCTAATAGGTGTAGCAAAAATCTTTGAAGAGCTCTCTGACTTGTCGTGCTTTCTTACTGGCATATGCTTGGAGAGAATGATGACCATCGAACGAGGAGGTTTGAATGGTGGAGGACACATGGGAATAGGGTAGTTTGTATAGTTCGCAATTTCAAAAGCATTACATCGCATAGCTTTACCTCGTTAATTTTATAATGAACATATTCTCATTATCACCACACTGACTAGAAGAAATGCGTCAATTCAATAGCTTTATTATTGTGCTCATGCTTGAATTTTGTTTACACTCCTATTACTTGAAAAACTGGATTTACTTAGTTCCTGTGCTCACATGTTGTAATATGTTTTCAATAAACATCAATTTAACATCAATTTTTGCCGAAACGTCAGTCGAATAAAGCAATTACTAATCTCGGTGTGAACCTCAAGCAGTTCTCAAAGCAATTTCCACAATGCCGAGATTGAGCGACGGTCGTACTTGGATGATCAATTTAACTAGTGATAAGTGCATATAAACTCGAAAACATATGCATAAAATTCATTCCAAAAATGATTAAGAGAACTGTGATAAGCTGTGATAAGCGCGAGTTGCACCGTATTTGAACATCACAACACCACTGAGTCTTGCGCTAAAGGTCAGATTTTCTCCCGGTCTGCATGGCGGGAAAATAGGCTGTTTCGATAATAATATCCCGAAAAAAATGCCGGTGTGCGGATTTCTCTCGACAGATTTGATTAAATTCCGCAGTCATTCTGTCACACAAGTTTCTTATGCGCGCGAGTCAACCACGAAACTCTAAGAATGCAGAGAATCTCAGAATGCCGATTCTGAGATTTCGCTCAACAGTAATCGACGGATGTCGACATCAACTTTCAGTTCAGCTGTTCAATACTCCGAGGGCGTCAAATCTCGAACAGTCTCCAGCTACTACCACTTATTTATGCGGCTTGATGAGCCATACTCTGAGAATAATCTTGCAAACGTATTAGGTCGATATATTGGATTTAAGCTTCAAACAAAAGCTTTGAAAAAATGCTTATCGTAAGATTTTTCTATTACGCTATCAAAAATTAAGCAATTCGTACTTGTACACTTGTAGCTTACATTGCAGTTTGTATAATGTTGAAGTTTGAGTTAGACATATTACAAAGAAAGAATTTATGGAAAAAGTTGCAAAACTTGGCTCAACTTAGTATTCAATCACTCATATGATTATGCGCTTATGTTTGCCATCTCTCTCTTCACAAATCATTCTCCTTCGCTCACAATGGAAAAACTAAAAATCTGGACTTTCTTTGCACTTTCAATAGTGAGATGCGTAAGAACTATGCGTTCGCACTAGAATGTAGCACCAGGAGGGAAGAGTTTCACTCTGTGTCTCTAACTTTGCCGATTACACAACGTTGTTCAAGAAATGTGCTTCGAAGCACTGCACTATTTGACATTCGTGGTGCGATCTTTACAAAACAGAGCTGTAATTCTTTGATTGGTTTTCTGTGACCTTCTGGCATTGTGCCACTTCTTTTCTCAACAACGTTGAGCTTAAGTTGACAGATCTTTTTCTCGGCTTGCCATGAAAAATTACCTTGCTTCCAGTTAGTTCGACGCTTCAAGTCTTCACAGTTCTTATGCCATGTTAAAACCTGGAGGAGCTTGATGTTCTGTAAGACTTCCAAAAAAAGCTTCAATATATTTGGTTGCAAAGAAAGCTCCCGAGCACTTGCAAAATTTTTTTTTCAAATTGCTGTAACTTCACGCAGATTAAATCTTTTTCCAAGCTACAAGCTTTATTGCAAAGACAATATTGTCCTCAACATATGGTTGTCTTGCTGACTTTTCAGCAACTCACGGCGGTCCACCAGCATGCGCAGAAGGGAGAAAGGTCATCGCGAAAAACGGCCTATTTGTGCAGCATTATCTCATCCACGATGAAAGCTGGAGAGCTCAAATGCTGCAGTCATATAGAATTTTGCTGGGGCTGTTATGACGACCATTCATCCTTTCTGGAGAAGAATTTTTTGCAGGACCACCTACAAAAAATTCTCGAGAAAGTTCAAAAAATCGACCATTTTTTGCCCCCAAAAATGCACCATTTTTGGGTAAGTGACTTTCAAGTCTTGTCGTTCTGCATAGAGTGGACCAAATCTTTGATTACTGCGAATATTGTTGGAGTAATGCCTTAAACGTCTTTTAAACCAATCAGCCAGGCTGGTGATCCCTGCAGAAGCACGCAACATGCGAAAAGAGTTGTAGTCAGAGGCAAGTTTGACAGCTTGTAATTTCTGAGCACAAATCGCAAAACTCTTGTGCAGCAGCGTGTCAGAAGTTAACAGGTTTCTTAATCAGATTACCCATTATTTGGACGAAATTCTTTGAATTGCATAAAAAAATGGCCGCAGGAAGAAAAATTGTGAAATTTCCCTGGTTGGAAAGGGTTTCTTTTTGATGTGCGGATCAAACACATCTTGGCATCAATAAAAGTCAAAAGCCGTATTGAAAGCTTTAGACCTCCCTCTACTGAACAGTGTAAAAAATTTAGTGTCAAAGTCCGACCGAGCGCCGAAAAATTGCGTTTGAAAATGAAATTTTCAAAAGTGCCCGGGAACTTTCTTTACAACCTAAGGTAGGTGCCAGAGTAAGCGAATATATTGTTCAAGTTGGGTCCCGGGCAGAATGGAAGTCACTCACCATGCTGGCTTTAATCCAAGTGACGTCCAATCTACCCGGGACCCCAACCTGAACAAAATATTCGCTTACTCGGGCACCTACCTAATAGTTTATCTATTTCTGTTGAAGATGCCAAAAGGATCGCTCTTCAAGTATTGCGAAACGAAGGAGGCCTGTAACACGTGCTTACGCCGAAGTTTACTTCACTAAGACGCTGCACGATCCTATGTATACTTTCAGCAAGGTTGTTTCAGGTAAATCTGTTCAACCTGACTGTCGCTGCGTTTTCAGGGACGCCGGAGGAAGATTTAAGCAGATTTGTCTGATGGTTTTTGCTTGAATGTTTCTTACTCTTTCAATAAAAGGGAAAGATGGAAAACGGTGAGCGCTCTTTGTTTACAATTTGATCCTGCTAAAAATGAATCTACATGTAGATTGAAGCCACTCAGCTTCTCAAAAAGCAACAGCTGTCAGCCAAGGCCCTAGAGACTTTTGTAGTGACTTGTAGTGTAGACTTTTGTGTTCCTCATTCTGATAGTCTCTGCTACATTTTCTAGATGCTGTTTGTTTGTACTACATTTTCATTAGATGACGATTGCATCAATACTGTCAAAAGCATCAGTTTCATTCATAACGATGGCATAGTTACGCTGGCCAGTGGTGGTAAAAGGAAAACAGTATGTGTTGAAATTTGTCTTAAGTGACAAGACAAGTTCAGATTTTAAAAGTAACTCTTATTATTGTTGGTGTCTTTTTTGCAGTTCAACCATTTCAACACTCAAATTAAGGATCTCAGACACATGGATAAGAAAGATGTAGACCCACCTCGACTGCTCTTTAACTTCTTTAAAAGTGATCAATCTTTTCCGAAACGTTGTAAAAGAAAGTGTAAGCAAAGTTAGTTAAATCTTCTTGCACTATTTGTGAACAGATCTTGTGATTATTCAGAAAAACGGAGAAAGGCTTTCCAAAAACGCTGTACCGATTACCAGGGTTACGTCGACCTATCTGAAGCACTTGGTGAGATTTATGTCAGTCTTACCATGGCTGTCTATTTCTTCTGGTTTTTTGGTAGCCATCTAGCTATTTGTGTTCTTGATGTGGCTGCTTGCTAGATTCGGTACCACTTGAACAAAGTGCTCATCGCCGTGTATCAACCCTTCAATGTGTCCTCTTACGCAAGCGCAGAAGCAGACAGGAAAGCCTCAATTAACTATGAGCCCGAGCACTCGAACGTGCTTTAACCTACTATGCAAAAAACATTACGATTAGCCTCCGTTACAAAAAGAGGAGAGGAATTTTCGGGGCAAGTCATGTCTTTGCATTAGTCAAAGGCTCAGATACACAATTTTCTTAGAGAAGGTCAAATTTAAGACGCCAAGGTTCAAAGAACCAGTTTTTTCGACCCGAAGTAGGCAAAACATTCCAAGTGGAGCACCTATGCACTTAGGACTCGGACACGATTGATCTGTAAATATCCGGCAAACTGCCAAGTCACGTGGATGTTGCGACTTAACGAAATCGCGCGAGGTATGCCTTAGGCCTTACGACACAATGACCAAAGGGCTACAACTAACCGCTTGGAACGCAGATATGCTACTTGCAATTTCTCTTACTAACTGTGTTTCTTTCGTGCTTGATACGCACATAGGCGCATTTTCGGCCCTGCAAACCATAATTGGTAGTCGAAAACACCTGGATTGGCGATAGTTTTGGTGTTGAAATTTTTCTATGAGGATGGAGCATTGGGAGCAGGAAGGTCATATAGTAAGTTTCAACTCAGTTTAGAGGAAAATTGGACCGGCGGAAGACCGCCTCGCAACGATTCGCGCCGCTTTGCAATCTGCTTCTCTTCATCCTAATCTATCTCGCTGAGTCAGTGGCGGTGCGGACGCGCTGCTCCACTTGGAATGTTTTGCCTACTTCGGGTCGAAAAAACTGGTTCTTTGAACCTTGGCGTCTTACATTTGACCTTCTCTAAGAAAAATGTGTATCTGAGCCTTTGACTAATGCAAAGACATGACTTGCCCCGTAAATTCCTCTCCTCTTTTTGTAACGGAGGCTAATCATAATGTTTTTTGCATAGTAGGTTAAAGCACGTTCGAGTGCTCGGGTTCATAGTTAATTGAGGCTTTCCTGTCTGCTTCTGCGCTTGCGTAAGAGGACACATGGAAGGGTTGATACACGGCGATGAGCACTTTGTTCAAGTAATACCGAATTTAGCAAGCAGCCACATCGAGAACACAAATAGCTAAATGGCTACCAAAAAACCCGAAGAAATAGACAGCCATGGTAAGACTGCCACATAAATCTCACCAAGTGCTTCAGATAGGTCGACGTAACCCTGGTAATCGGTACAGCGTTTTTGGAAAGCCTTTCTCCGTTTTTCTGAATAATCACAAGATCTGTTCACAAATAGTGCAAGAAGATTTAACTAACTTTTCTTACACTTTCTTTTACAACGTTTCGTAAAAGATTGATCACTTTTAGAGAAGTTAAAGAGCAGTCGAGGTGGGTCTACATCTTTCTTATCCATGTGTCTGAATAGTTACCCAAGTTACCTACCTTAGTTAAAAAGTTACCTTGCGGAAACGGTGCAAATGTGGATCGTGAGATATGTATTTGTTTATTTGCTACTTACGTGCTTCGGCAAAACAGAATTCATGAACTATTGTTTAAAGCGTTGCTTTGGCATAGGATTGTGAAACCGGCACAGCCTTAGGCTGCGTTCATATTGATCCTGAAGTCCGGGAACAGTTCCAGCACAGCGCTTGAAATGAGCGCTGTGCTGAAACTGTTCCCGGATTTCGAAATCAGTCTGAACGCAGCCTAAAGTGCTATCTGTTGCTTAATTTTCGCGCCAGTGATGTCCTTTTTGTTGCCTCAACACTGACGTTTCAGATGACGAGCTGTGTGCGAGTGTGGAAGAGTTTTCTGTCGAGGAACACAAGTCTGTTCCTTATGATAACGTCTCCCAAGGTGTAGCGAATCTTTATTCGGAAGTTTCAGGTATGTTTGTCGCGAGCACTATAGAAAAAGCAAAATTTCCTTTGTGAAACATATCAAAATGGACACTGCCATAAAAATTGCAACTCAAGGTAGCTTATTTTATATTTTGACAACAACATTCAAGAAACTATCGATAGGCCGGATAGCCAACAATGGTCTTTGCTTCAAGCACTATTCTTCTGTAAAATGAAAATGACACTGTTGTGAAAATTGTAAATCAAGATACCTAAAATTATGTTCTACAATATTCAAGAAACTATTTTCCACTCAACCAAATCGTTTCAGTGATCTTGGTATTGATGACTTCTCGACATCGGACAATGTAGAAACTGCACTGTCGAATAAGATTCGCGCTTTACCTCCCCACACAGCAAATGTCTCGAGCAGTCATCCTCAAAAGGTCAGGGTAAGTTTTTTCTAGCTAATCACCGAATAAGAGACTAGTTTTTTCCTATCACAGATATCCACTGCTGCAAAAGATGCTTCTATAAGTGCAGCTGAAACTGTCTTTGAAGTCATTGAAATTCCACTTGAGTGTTTTGAACCCTTCAGCATTGGAGAGAATGTAAATTTTCCTGCGCAGGGTTTCACTGAATTTCAGTAATCTTCAGATCTTGCCATTTATTCCAAAAGGACTGCTTAGAAAATGGTTGAATCCAAAACGACTTTTTATTTATAGCCTACATTTCTCTAATTCAAAGTTTGTGCTATTTTTTGAAGAAGAGTAGGATTTGAATATATTCAGGTCATAATTGTCAGTTGAAAAGCGTTGTTGTTTTGAAAAATTGTTTTTTTATGTCATTGTTTTAGGGTGAGAATCAACACTAATACTTCATATACAATCGCAGCGAGCAGAAGTCGTCTAATAGATATTGTAAAAGCAAAGAAAAGGAAGGATCTTCCTGCACTTTTCAAAGACTTGTACGACTTTATTAATGAAATGAAGCAGGAGTAAATTTCGTTCTTAAGATGCGTTGAGCATAGCCCAATGAGTCTTTCTTTTAGGAGGAGATGGCCGATTATGACTGGGACTCTCGGGTCAATATATATCCCGATGGTTTGAAAGCAACGTAAACAGCACAACGATCGCGCCCATAGTAAGCTTAAAGTTTTGTATTTTTTTTAGTTGCAAACAATTCTTATTAGGTTGTTTCGAAAACGTTTTTCGACCTCATATAAGATTCGCGGAATCAAGAAATACTCGGGTAGTCATGTTCCGAATGTGTTTTGTGATAATCCAACTATTCCTACTTTGATTTGATCGTTTTTGACACGCACAGCTCAAAGAAAATCCTGAAAATTAACCGATAGGATCATGGCAAAATCGATGGTAAAAAATTGAGTGACAGACATTTTGAAAGCATATGCTGTGAGGAAGAAAATCTGCGTCAAATATCATTTGGCGCGCTTGTATCTTGATCTCACGTGATTTTATGATATGTTGAGGAAAAAGCCACGATTCAAAAGCCACCTTATAAAATACTTTTTTGAGGCTGCCGGCAGTTTTGAATTTGAACAAATTGATCAACTTAGCCACCTCTATGATCAAAGCATCAAATCTGAGCGCCCGGAGGCATCTAAAGAACCGGTGAATGATCCCTTTTGTGGTAAGTGAGTAAGTTTCCGTTTAGAATAACAGTTTACGGTGCTGCTGTTGCAGAAAAAAGCCAAGAGTGATCGTTTTTGGCTTTCGGAAGGCATGATGTTTCGCGAATGTGTAACTGCCGTAATTAGCGATCAGCTCAATCGGAAGAGCTTCCCTATAGAAATACCGGTGTGTCAAACCACCTTGAGGGATGACGGATAATTCCGAGCTTGCAGAGAATTGCTTCTTCCAGTCCTCTTCAATTAGAACTTCCCTATGCAATTTTGCCCATACCTATGGTAGATTTGTTATTGAAAGTGAGTCGATGCCTTGTTCATTTGAATACCAGTATTATCCTAAAAAAGTTGTAAATCGTCCAATCTCTTCATGTTTAGCACCTGCAGATTACAAAATCGCATCATGTACAACGTACGCAGACCGAAAAAATTCTTTATTTTTTGTTCATTCAGAATGCGCTTAGGATGGGTTATAGAAAGTTAGAGTATTGCCAAATCACGTCGAGGCTGAGATTGCGTGAGGTATGCCCAGGCCTAACCAAAAATGAAAAATTGCGGATTTTTTCAAAACTCTATACATAAAAGTTATTTGACATGCTGATCACGAAAATGGCAGTCACGTTGCTTGGTAGGGCCTTTTCAAGAGCCAGCGGTAGGCATACGGAATGCGGTCAAACTCACAGGTCTTGCTGTATGTCTGCACAGAGGAGTATTATATGCTAATTACGAATGTCCACAACTTTCCCTGCAGGAAAACATCTTCCTGTAAGGTATGGTAGGTGTAGGCAGGGGAAGGCAGTGTCCGGGCAAAAGTCGAGTTTGGGATTTTGTGTTTGCCCGCGTTTAGTCGCTATGCTGTTTCCGAAAATTCACACTGGAGAGCGCCAAAACGGCGAAAAGGGCCATGAAGCACTAGAAAATCCAAAAGTGGGCGGGTTTTCTCCACTGTGGATTCACGGTCCCAGCTTCCGGAGCAATATTCTCGGTTTTAATTTCAGGTCACGTATTCACACCTGGCCTGTGGAAGTGTCAGGGCGGCTAGCGAAATTGAGAAGATGCTTTGGAAGCCAGGAACGTGAATTCACAGTGGGGAAGACTCCGCCCACTTCTAATTTCCCTCCTGCATTAGAGCCTTTTTTTCGCCATTTTTGCGCTCTCCAAAGTGGATTTTCGGAATCAGCATAGCGAGCAAGCCCGGGTAAGCAAAATCTTCAAGTCGACTTTAGCCCGGACACTGCCTTGAACGTCCTAATGGCTAAATATGGTTTGGAGTGGTTATCTGGCGCGCTGAAAATGCATGTCATATCAATTTCGTAAGATAGCGCCATTTTCTTATGACGGTGGGTATACGTTAGTTAGATCAAAGTCCCAAAGCTTAAAACTTGGCCTAGAGGGGGTGTTTAAGCATGCTGACCACGAATATTATGCCTGATCACTGCAATAACGCCTTATTGTGGAGTTACGGCAATTTGCAGTGTATAGATAAACACCTTTTCCGCTTTCCAGGCCACTTTTAATTCATATTTTTCTTCAATTTTCCGTTTTTTCCTTTTCTTTTTCCCCTTCCCTTCTTAAACGATTGGGCCCGCAGGACCGTAGGATTTGCTCTGGTCCTATTTATGCAGTTCTTCCTTTCTGCGAAACTTTCTTCCAAATTTTTTGCAATTTTTTGAGTGTTCCTAGACTTGAAAAAATCTAGTTTCAGGAATCGTTAGCATTTCAAGCCAAATCCAGATTTGATATGCAATTTCTTGTATGCCCTCAATGCATAAAGCCATGGGAGTTCTGTACAATGCCTCTTGCAACAACCGAAAATTGTGGTATGAGCCATTTTATCCTTCCTTGCTCTTTAGATTCCATTCAGAGCTCTTCAGTATTCAACAGCTGCTCCTGTCCAAAGTGCCTTATTGCTTTTTGCTATATTTGCAAATGTGAGCCTCAGTGGCCCATGAGTTGCGAAGAATTCAAGCGATGGACGTCGCGATGGGATAACACAATGTGGGTTCAGAAATTTCATCTAAAAAGCTTATATTTTGTCATTTTCCTAGGGACCTATGAAGAATATCACATAGACGGTGAAGAAGTGCGATTATGCTGTGTATGCGAGGAGATTTACACTTTAAGGCTTACAAAAATGTATAATCGAGTCTTTGTAACTCATGTGTACTGCACGCCATGGGTGTAAATCAGGATTTGAATGCTTGCAGATTTGTGCCCATTTTGGGACTTTCGCCTTTTTTTGAGTATATATGGGCGCTGTGTTGGTTAGCAGTAAAGGTCCTAGAAGTCTCGTAGCCACGCCCTTTGAAAAAATGTTTGGGATACTTTCAAATTTTTAATCTGTAATTCCGAAATTTTTGTAGAAAGGGGCGTGGCAGTAGCCATTTGGATTTTCGGAAAACTTAAAAAATAATCCAACTATTCGGTACAAATAAGTCGGCGCAACTTCTGACTGACGTAGGTCAGTCTTGAGTTTCGCCGTCGTGCACATTAGGGTAGGGGAACGAAGGCCGCCAGTTTGAGACATCTTTTGCGGCCAACTGGTCTTTCTGCAGTGTTGTGGCATGTCGTTGCAGGACCAGTAGTCCGCGGAGGCGGTCCAAACTGACGGCTTTCATTTCCCTACCCTGTAGATTATAGCTTACTCATTTCCCGCACAGAATTTTACCCCGTATTCCGTTGCAAACGACTTTATGCACACTGTCTCAATGGAATGTTTCCTCGTGTCGCCTACACATCCGCGTCGCAAACTCCTCGCACCACGTATGGGAAAAGTGCTCGTAAAAATACGGCTACGCAGTTTATACTTAAACCTAGGGGTGTTCTTTCTCATCGGAGAAAGGAACAATGAAAATAAAAGTTTTCTAAAGTTAAGCAGCTTCTCCCACACTCGCTTGAGAGTGGCGCAGGCGCTTCGCGATGCGTGCGCGCAGATCCTAATGCAGAGAAGGAAATGCACCATTGACATAGACTGTACTCCATTTGCTAATTCTTGTTACCAGTAAACCAGTAATTTAGATTCCAAGTCTGCGCAATACAAGGGTTGCCCTAGGGATTACTGCAGATGCGAGGACGGACCAGATTTTGCAAAAGCGCGCGATCATCTCTCTGATTCTGATTATATCTGGCCTTCCAGGTCCATGAAGACATATATGCACCTGAGTGCCTTGGATGTAAACATTACAGAGTGCAAAATATGCGTAAGTTTTTTTCGCACCCTCAAAAAAGTCTTCCTGAAACTTTTTAGGGTGATGATGTCTTGCCGCAGACCGTCGAGCTCAGGCCAGTCATAAATAAGAATGTTGCTGAGGTTAGGAAAATGGCTTTCCCACTTTGAAAAAAGTTTGCAGTTTTTTGCTAGTTATGCGCATATGCAAGGACTCAAAGACTTCTGCATAGCGATTTTGAAAAATATGTCACCTCCACATTTCTCAAGAAGACGGCGGAAACTTATAAAGACCTAAGAAAAACGGTAAACCTTTAGTTGCAAATCAGCTAGGGCTAAAATCGATATTTAAGGTACTTTATCTGATTGAGAACTGCACAGCTTGGATACACGTAGCTAAACCACCTGAGTGGAAATATTTGAATTCAACCGTATCGAATCTCGACAAAATTCTTCAGCTTATCGAGCAACGAATTCCTTCAGCAAAGTAATGATTATGCTAGTTTTTCCCATCAAATTGCTAATGTGGTTTCAGGGACGATTTTGAGAAGCAAGTGACTAAATTTGAAGAAGAGACTAAACATATTATTGCACTTATTCGAAAGAATTTGATTCGAGCATAAATTTTGTTGTGCATTACGTGACTTAGAAATCTACTGAGCGATTGGCTTTTTAAGCTGTATGAGCGACAATAATCTCCAGAATGTTTGGCGTAATATATACTTTTTAAACCACGCTTTTGATTATTTTTCTCGCTTCTGGATTACACTTTACATGATGAAGATACTGTAATTTGGAAAAGAAAAGCTGAGTCACCCCTGCCGAGACATGCTTTCACCCGAACTTTGATTCGTCAACAACGTTAGCCACTGAATTGTGATCTTCATTTATAAAGCATTTGTAAAGCAGTAGCCGATTCTCTTGGCTACCTTTGATGCTATCTAAAAGAACTTTGTACTTTGCAGCACATATGTATGAAGACATGTATAAGAATATAAATGGCATAAGAATTACAGTGAAGAGTCAGATGACAGATTTGCTTAAATCATAAAAGATCTATGGCTGTTCATGCAGCTGTTCCTGTAGAATCATCTCACAACGTTTGTCTCAAGATGGTATGCTTTTGTGACTTCATTTCCAACTATCTGCCTTCAAGTTTTTTTAAACTTTTATGAGACTGCAAGCATGTTTCCACAATTCACATTTCCTTAGTTCGCAGCAAGTAGTATTCATCCTTATCAGGAGTGCCTTCCGAACATTGAGTAAACGACACTTTGTTGCTAATTAATCTATATTTACAGTTATCTCTTATTTGCGCAAGAAAATTTCTTCGAAGACCGCACTCCTGTAAAAATAGTGTTTCGAAAGCACAACAAATGTTCTCTTCTCGCTTTTATTCGAGATGATACATAACAGGAGAAAAAAAAATAAATGTGGCAGGTGATTTGTGTTGCTGAGGAAGAATGTCTTATTAAATGTATCATATCCTTCCTCTTTGCTTCCACTACGGCCAATGTCCAAGCAAGCGCCCAGTCATCTCCCATTATTACAACATCTATGGCGTACGAGTTTTTTCGTCGTAGTCGCTATACGAAATGCTCTTAGAGTTACTACAGCAAAAGTCATTTACATGCTTTTTTGTTCTTTCTGTACACCCATCAAGTACTTTGGTACATACTCTGACATTTACGACAGCATTACCAAGTACTTAAGGAAGTTACTTGACATGACTTACATTCACATGAAATTTTTTCACTGTTATGAGTGTAGCCAATCATTTCAGCATGATTGGTGATTCTTTTTCAATAGCACATATTTTTACTTTCTGATGAATTATATGCTCCATCAGCCTAACATTCTATCCTTGTCATCACAAGCTTTTTCTAAATCGTCTAATTGCTGTAATCTATGGCATTTGTGCATTCCAATTTCCATTTTTTCCGCATTGTGTAATTGCACAAGATAGATTGCTACATTATGAAGCTTCAAAAGCTGCACCTAGTATTACATATGGTTACAGTCTGTCAATTTAATTCCAGTAAAGAGTGGCTCACGTTTACAAAAATTCCTCTTGGCGTATATTGAATTTTCGTAATAACTGCTTTGGGTTAACATGATTTAGGTTGCAAGAGAGAAAATTTTTGAATTCTAAATATTCAGTGCCACTATCAAATGAAACTCTTTGAAAATTAGGAAGTCTAGAAGCAAGCATACTCAACTTTCGTACCTACTATGCTCTTATTGAGACGATACTCCCGTAATTTAGCTAGTGGCAGATAAAGCCTCCGAAAATCTCTCTAGATTTGATAGTTTATTGATCCTCAGCGCCATCTACAAATTTTAAGGGCTGCCTAGATCTAGGAGGAAAATTGCTGAGAATATACAAAGAAATTGCAAAACACGAAGTATTAAATTTAGATCCATCTATGAGCTTCGACAATATCCACTCTATGCGTCTTTCTTATTTATAGTTCACTAGCTTGTCATTTGTTTAATTATAACAAACTGCTTTGTCGTTAAGTCTATCTATGTATCGCAAATGTTTGGTCCACCTGCAAATGACAAGCTGTTTTTGTCTGTTATCCTGACACATCCAGAAATATACGGGTAAGTGTTTTTTTCTGATTTTCATGGCTTGCGTGCTTTTGTGTTTTCCGTCTCATTAGGAAATTGTAGATTCTAACCAGGGCTAGGCACAGATGGCTTATGAGCAAGTTGGATATGTTTCTGGGACAAAAAGCTAAGAGGATATTTTTTCGTGGTCGAAAAAGACGAATTTTCAGTCGACGTTTCGTTTTTTTAGGGTTTTTCACGTTTATGGTCTAAGGTAAAAGGAGACTTAGTAAAATTTTGCAAAGATCAAGGGGTGATTTCTTTTTTTTTGCGTTTTCCGCAAGCCACCTCGTGCCGAACCCTGATTTTAGCGATCTAAAAATATAGGTTCATAATAGAGGCCCCCTACATCGGGTTTGTGAGTTTTGAAAGCTGCCCATATTCTTTATGATCAGAGGACTAAAGGCTAATTCATAAGCATCCTTTTCATCATCTTGCGCTAAATTCACTACTTTGAAGGCTTTTCGGTACACTGGTATATCTTTTACATACATGCACCCCAAAATCTTTTCAAATTCTCGATTACATGCTCAAGGTTTCCAAAAAAAAAGGTTTCGAGCACTTAATCCCACTTGCAAAAACTACCGTAATTAGCCAAACAGTATTACAGTAGAAACTAGTGTCATCTCTGTTAATCGTATGTAAGATATCAAATAGCTCCGTTTCACCTTGGTTCCGGTTACAATTCCTAACCATGTTATTAAAGCATTAATCCGCATGGGCAAGCTCAGCGCAAATGCTTCTTCCATATGCAAAAGTTTTCCTTACAGTATAATCTTTGAAAGTGCCTGCTATTCATAATTTCGTTTACAATTTCCGAAACCCTTCAATGGATTCACTAAAACATATGATGAGATGCTTTTTCCTCTTCTCCACTTTTGTTTCTCTCATCTTCAGAAGTTATTGCATATAGTCATTCTGCATATAAGTCATGGAATTTATTTATTTAATGGCAACTTTTATGCAATCGGTTAAGATTCCTGGATTGAAGTTTTCCGGCGAATCGTATACACTCACGTCAGTTAACTATTTATTTGTTTATTCGTTTATTCAACTGGCCAGTTATTTGATATCAAAGCCTGATCTGCCTCATATAGCCTTACCGCCCTAGGCTCAAAATGTTTTGCCAAATTTTCCAAACCTTTCTTTGTAGCAGAATTTCTCGACATCAGTGTTCCGCTTGCTAATATAAGCCTTGATTTGATAATCGTCGTTCAGCAAGGCATTTATTAGTGGCACCAACTATGTCTTCTGAACTTCGACTTTGTGAGACTCAATATTCAATTTATATCTAGCTTGCAACGTCTCATTTTCCACAGCATCATTTTCAGTTCAAACAAATTTGCAGAAATTTTTCTAACAAAGGTTTTGTACTTTGCAATCAGGCACTGCAGGCAATTCTAGAAGCTGCAATTTTGCAAAACCGACTGCATGGATCTTTTCTGGGCAATAATTGGAAACTTCCTTTGAAATATGGCTTTTCTAGGCTTGCTACATAAGCCGAATTGCTGATTTTGCAGGAAAGTCAAATCTTTGGATTGTTTGCTCAAATTTTGTGCCCATACATTTCTCAAAGCTACTTCCATAAGTGCAACCTAAATTGGCAAGTAGACATTAATATGAGAAATTCTAGTAGTCAAACGGCTACGGAGATAGTTTTCTTGCGACCATAGCTTTTCTGTTTTGAAATTTGATTTCTGTTTCTGGCGACATTGTGGGATGATTAAATAAGAAGAGTATGGAAGAGTCATTTCAAAGTTTCTTACCTTACATCTTCTTTGCAACCATATCTTTCGCATCTTGCCATAAATTTTTCCACCCAACCCTATTTTCTTTTAGCTATAGAAATCATATATTAGGTTGATTCATAATTAATGCACGTTTTCTATACTTCAACTTTCAACAAAGATAATTCTTTTTTAAAAAGAAATTTCTGAGCGCAATAAAATCTACTATAATCATCAAATCAGTGGCTATAAAACAGTTACTTTTGCGTGACCGTATCTATTACAAGAAAGACTTTCTGGCCTGAAGATTATCAACAACTTTTTTCAGAAGCCTCTTCTTTGAGAGAGCATAACTTATGCTGAAATGAAGTAGGATAAAGCGGACTTCGCTCATCGTGTAGCCAAGGGTTTCTTGAGCAGTAACACGAAATTTGGATTTTACGGAAAATTTTTGAAAGAAAATATCGCAAAAAAGTCGAAAGTACTCACTTTTTTCTGACATCTCGGCGGGTTCAAAAATCGGTCATTTTTAAAATTATTTCATCTTCTCCGCTGGAAAGTGAGGAAATCCTAGCGCCTTTCTACCATCAAATGAACTAGGTCTACCTTTGCTGGATAGCGCAAAAGACCTGCAATCGCCTTTTGATTCAAAGATTCATATGGCACGGAAGGGCCGCGACGATCATTCAAGTTCGCAATTGAATTTTTCGGCTTAGATTCCATGGAATTTTTTGTTCAAAAAGCATCTTGTAGCACAAAATTTCGTAATCCTTGAGCATATTTTTTGAAATTAATCCAGCTATTCCTCATGAATTCAGGGCAAAAAGAGTGAAAAGCAAGAATTTTGGGATTTAGTCTCTTTCATTTCGAGGCTTAGAACTTTGGAACGAAAGGAGATGTACGAAAGCGAAGGCCCGCATAAGAAACTAGAACAAACGCTCTTTTAGATAGCCTAAAAAGTTTTTGAGGAGATTGGTTACACATGAAACATTAGCTCTTGGAAGAAGAGATAGGAAAAACGTGCATTAATTATGAATCAACCTAATATATCCCTCAACAAACATTCATACGCGCGTTGCTGTAATTTTTTTTACTTAGACATCGAAAATTCAAAATTTTTTTGCTTCTGTCATGAGGTTGGCTTTTCCCTCGTATGTAATTCTATACTAATTAGCTTGGCAAATACAACCATAGATTTTCAGCCTTCTACAAGAGTTAGGCTTGGGAAATCTCGAATTTGATTTTTTTGTGTGTTTCAGATTGAATTTGGTATTTCTCGAGAA